CCCTGCGTACCCCCCCCCCCCCCAGTTTTCCGAACTAACTGTTTTTTTCCATCTTAAATGCTTGGCTACGTCTCCCGCGCTCTCCCATTTTATGATAGCCTAAACTATAGCAGCGGAGATCAACATACCAGTTTTACATTATTCATAGCTTATAAACTGGACTGAGCGGGCGTCTGAGCTATTTTTTCGCAGGTGTCATAGGGAAATATGCATAATATTTTGTGAAAGTCTGGGAAATGACAGCTCATAAAAAAGCCTATACTTCTCAGTTTGGGCGCAACTTGCGTGACCCACTCCCAACTTGCAAACTTCCGCAAATCTAAAGTAATCACCATTTGTTGGTCGTACATCATCTCACCAATCATGGGGGCAAGATGGCTCAGTGGTTAGTGTGCGAATTTACTGTCCGGAAGGTCCGTGGTTCGAACCCGACCTCTGCCTCTCGACTTCCCCTGCCTAGGCTTGGGCAACATGGCAGCATCCCAGCCTCGTGGGATCTTCTGGTGGCACGGCAGTTGGGCACCGAAGAGGTGCTATAGCCGAACGACGATTTTCCCGAATCACACTTAGTTTTTTCACGCAGTAATTGTTGCTGTCCCGAGAGCAACGTTGGCTTTCTGCTTATCTATACAATCGGCTCCTCTGCGTCTTCTCAGTCGCATACCGCCTCGTAATCATCAATTGCTTTTGATGCTGTTCTTTTGTGACGAGCTTCATACTTATCATTCATTTTTCCTCTAGCTCCTATCTATCCCTAAACATCTCACTGTTCGCATGGTTGCGGTTGTAGGGTTGCAACACCGTCAGGTATAACATCAGATTAGGATCCAGATCTGTTCGGGGTGATCGCGCGAGAACAAGGCAGTCATCATAGTACGCCACCAAAAGTGGCCCAAACAACGATGCAACGGGCCTTTCAGAAACCAAGAGGGTTTCCTTTGAGGGCTATCCAATAAACAAGTTCTTTCCACTTCTATCTCTTTGCAAAGAACACGCAGTAGTTACCTTTTCTATTGCAACTCGGGTATAAAGAGCCTTTCGTCGTAATTAGGATCTCCGGGCATTTCACTGACGGACACTAGTCGTGCACCCGCGCATCTGTAAAAAGCGCCATGGATTATTCTACTCGAGAAGTATGGTAATGGTACCTGCATGCTTATCTTTCAAGGTATGGGTTAGCACTCGTCCTCCGTGTGTTGAACTAATTCCTGAAGAAATCAGGATGTATCATCTTTGGTCAACTTCAGCTATTTTCGTCGTCGTACCATTTACGCTTTTTAATCCGTCGACGCGGACGCCTTTGATCTGCTACCTACTACAAGCCAGCAGTAAAAAGCCTCACACCTGCTCTGCATATAGGAACAGCTACCGTATGAATGAAAAGAACACATCTACGTTTGCTAAATTCTGTTGCTCTTTCAAGTCATCTTTTCGATGGAATATCAATGAAACCAGTTCTCAGCTTATCCGGGGGGAATTTTAGGATGGCAGCACAAAAATGACGAATGGTGAGGTTAGTTATAGTTAATTCGACTTTATCGTTTGTCACAACGTTTTTTCATCGTCGAAGATGGTTCATTTCGCAGTAAGTCGAAATTCGGAAGATTACGAAGTTCAAATGTAATTTTTGAAGCCCCGAGAGTGGTGTAAATAATGCAACGATTTGGATCAACTGAGAATAACGTCGTGATTTCATTAGGACCACAGACCGCTTTGGTATATATATATATATATATATATATATATATCTGCTTCCCACA